TTCTATACTTGTATAACGTAAATATAATAAAGACTATATAAAACTTCCGCACCATAAAAAAAAAAAAAAAAAAAAAAAAATTCGATTTTTAGGGTGGTCAGTGAATTATAATTTGTAAGATTCTTTTTTGTTTGTTTTTTGTTTGCAATCCAAAGCAATACAGAATTTTGCGAAATTCTAAATTTTTACCATACATTTAATTTAATTCAATAATAAAAAAAGATTTAATAAATAATTTAATTTCTAATCATGCTTCGAATTTTAAAATTAAATACTATTATTGCATATGTTGTAAAAAAAAAATCTTTTAAATAATAAATGTTCTGAAAATCAGGAATAAATTTTTCAGAATTTTCCTATCATTTATCTATAAATACACCCATATCCCCTAAATAAAATCGGTCTGTCTGTTTTATGACGAGATGGGATATAACTACTACATTTATTATCGGTTAAATAGCATGGATAGAGAGAATCTGATTTTACTGTAACAACACGCTTTTAGTATTGCGAATGACTGCGCCGCTAAATACCGTGGATTATATAACATGCCAATCAAATCTTTACACGTATTTATTACTGATCTATAAAATCGATAAAATTTTCAGGTTCTCAACATAAAACATGGCAAATATTGCAATCCCAAGAAGCACTTTATTATTCATAGGAATAATTTTTCATGTGACATATATATGGAGTATATTTGATATATATTTCACTTCACCTTTGGTACATGGAATGACGCCTTATAAGGTACAGAAAGTTTAAAATTTAAATATCTTAGTGTTATTTATTCATTTTTTAATTTTTTTTTGGTATAGGTTGGTTTATCACCACCTGCTAGTAGGCTTATACTTATAGTGGGTAAACATCAATTTTTTTTTGCCAATTATAATTTTAGTTGGATGCTTTACTAAAGAATTAATCGATTAGGCGATGGACTAAGAGCAGACAAATTGTATCAACTACATCCAGATGAAGATGGCATATCAGATCAACCCATTACAAAGGCACCTTTTTTAAGAGACATCATTTTAAATCATGGTACTTTTGGAGTTTCTCATACTCGAGTACCTACAGAATCAAGGCCCGGACATGTCGCTATTATTGCAGGATTTTATGAAGACGTCAGTGCTGTTACTAAAGGTTTTATTTTATTAAGGAATTGACTCAATTATTCCCTTCATTAAAGGCTTAAACTTATTTATAATTTATTAGGGTGGAAATATAATCCTGTGGAATTCGATTCAGTATTCAATCAAAGCAGACATACGTGGTCGTTTGGATCACCTGATATATTACCAATGTTTGCTGATGGGGCTTCAGATCCCGATAAAGTTGAAACTTTTATGTATGGTCATGAAAGTGAAAATTTTGCCGAAGGTAATGTTTTAAAAATCCTTGGATTATTTTAATCAATCTAAATATAACTTTATAAATCACAGATGCCAAAGAATTGGATGTTTGGGTATTTGATCAACTTGCCCAACTATTGGCAAATTCTTCATCCGATCTTAAATTACATCATCAACTTCATGAAGACAAAATTGTAATATTTTTACATTTATTGGGATTGGATACCAATGGACACGCTTATGGCCCTCACTCTAAAGAATATATGGATAATATTAAAGTTGTTGATGAGGGGATAAGCAAAACTGTTAAGCTAATTGAAGAATATTACGAACACGATGGGAAAACGGCCTATATTTTCACCGCAGATCATGGAATGAGTAACAGAGGTAGTCAATTCGTGGGTTTGACGAGAAATAAAAATTTTCTAACAAGCTTTATTAATTTAGGAAATCATGGAGATGGACATCCGGATAATACGCGAACGCCAATAATTGCATGGGGCGCAGGTGTGAATAAACCGAACAAGACACATCCAATTGGACATGACGATTTTTCTGCCGATTGGCATTTAGATGAAGTTCAGCGGAATGATATTTTACAAGCGGATATAGCACCACTTATGGTGTGTTTTGTTATGTTAAATAGATTTTAATATTAAAAAATAATTTATATTTAACGAATATATTTATCAATAGGTGTCCCTAGTTGGTATTAATTATCCGGTTAATTCTGTAGGAGAATTGCCTTTAGTGTATCTTAATAATACACCCTTATTTAAAGCACAAAGTTTATTTGTCAATGCTAAAGAAATATCTGAACAATATCAAGTTAAATATGGTTAGTGTGTAAAATTGGTTAGAATTTGAAATTATTTAAAAATTTAATTTAATTTTTTTTTAGAATTAAAGAAACAAACAAAAATAATGTTTAAACCGTTTGCACCACTTAGTAATTCTACTCATAATCGGAAAGCCTTACTTGGTAAAGTTCAGGAATTGATTGATGCTGGACAATACGATTCGGCCGAAGCCACGTGTGAGGTTTTGATACAACTTTCTTTGGAAGGGTTGAGATATTTTCAAACGTGAACATCTTTATAAATTTTACTTTTCATTGTATATTCGTTTTTATTAACATTTTTTATTTTTTATTAGCTATGATTGGCTGATGTTGAGATCTATTGTTACGGTTGGATATGTGGGTTGGATTTTATATAGCTTAAAATACACTTTAAAAGAACATTATTTACCGAACAATTCGCCCATCAAAAAGTCAGATACATCATCAAATGAATTGGTTACAATGGCAAAATATGTAAATAATCATTTCCTTTATTATGTTCTCTATATATATATGTATATGATCTAAAATAACCTTATAATCTTTTAGATTAATTTCCTTGCTATAACATCTTTAATCGTATTGGTATCTGTTTTGTATATACAAGAATCACCTGCAACGTATTACACATACGTAATGTTTGCAGTTTATTTTTGTTGGGATGATTTACTGGACTATAAAATATTCACGGAAAGTTATAAATTAGCTTTAATTTCACGGAGTTCGTTTGCACTTATTGGATATGTAATTGGACATATTCTTGCATTGGAACTTTTTGTAAGCAAATTTTCTAGATATTTTTTTTTTTACTCAGGCAAATTTTAAGTGATAAAAGCTAACTATATTATTTTTGCAGGTATACAGTTATTTCGAAAGGAGTATTCTTAGCGCGTGTTTTGTATTAGCGGCATTATGGCCATTAATTATGCCATCAAAAGTTCGATCCGATAATAAATTACTCTTAACTTACTGGTCTGGGTCATGTTTGGCATCAAGTATTTTTACATTAATGCCTGTGGAAAAGGGAGAAGATATATCATTAGTGTGAGTGTCGTTCAAATATATTTCATATAAATTTGTAATTTATGTTATAATATTTTCTGATCACCCTTTAGGATCTATGGCGGAATCTTAATTCTTATTACAGGAATTAATTCTATGGTTAAGAGTTCCAAATATACAATAGGAGATGAAATTGGTTCAAAAGCCATGACCATATTTCAGGTATCAATTTTAATGATTTATTTTCCGATTTTTTTTTCAGACAAGTTTTATGATTAACTAATAATTTCTTTGTTTTTTAGTTGTCATTAGTGGCTTTAAGTATGATAATAGTTTATGACACTACAAATAATTTGAAAGAGAAGATTGGTCTTCCAGTTATAAATCAATATGCCGCATGGATAATATTAGGTAAGAGATTATTTTGGAAATGAATTTTTTTTTTAATATCTTAGTATTTATATATATAAAATATTTTAAAATAGTTATTGCAACAGCCACACCATTCTTTTATGGATTTGGAAAACAACATCATTATTTAAAACGTCTTACAACGATTTCTTTGGCATTCGCGCCATTATTTATTATACTTAGTATTTCATATGAAGTATTATTTTATTATTTCTTGACACAAACACTTTTACTCTGGTTAGAAATTGAACGTAAATTATTTTCATCTGAACACTCAAATCAAAAACATGAAGGGCATCGTAAATTAGAAATGAGGGATTCAAGAATTTCGTTAATATTTTTATTTTTTATTAAAGTTGGATTTTTTGGAACAGGAAATGTAGCAAGTTTAAGTTCATTTTCGTTACAAAGTGTTTATAGACTTACAACAATATTTAATCCTTTTTTAATGGGAGGATTGTTAATATTAAAAATTTTAATACCATTTTTTATTGTATCTTCAATATTTTCTGTATTAAACAAATCAATTAGATTATCATCATTTAGTTTATTTTTGTTAGTATTATCAATATCGGATATTATGACATTGAATTTTTTTTATTTAGTTAGGGATGATGGAAGTTGGTTAGAAATCGGTACTACTATAAGTCATTTCGTTATTAGTAGTTTGTTTGTTTTATTTATGATTTTATTATTTTCATTAAGTGAAATTTTAGTTGGAAAGGTTATTATATCTGATATATATGAGAAAAAAGAAAAAAATAATTGATTTTGTTTTATTATAATAATTTTATTTAATAATATATATGGGAAGTTTGCTAGGAAAATGGGGTTCTGAGACATTTTTTAAAAAATTGAAATTTTTGATACATATT